CCGCATCCCGTTCTACATGAGCACCGACTGCGAGAACCTGCTCAAGAAATTCCTGATCCTCAACCCCACCAAGAGGGGCACCCTGGAGGTGAGGGGACCCCAGCTGGGCCTGGGACCTTCTGGGGACCCCAATATTGTCCTGGGACCCCCAACATCATCCTGGGACCCCCAACATCGCCCTGGGACCTTCTGGAGACCCCAACATCGTCCTGGGACCCCCAACATCATCCTGGGACCCCCAACATCATCCTGGGAGCCCCAACATCATCCTGGGACCTTCTGGGGACCCCAACATCACCCTGGGACCCCCAGCATTGCCCTGGGACCCCCAACTTCATCCTGGGACCTTCTGGGGACCCCAACGTCGGCCTGGGACCCTCAACATCGCCCTGGGACCCTCAACTTGGGCCTGGGACCTTCTGGGGACCCCCAACATCGTCCTGGGACCTTCTGGGGACCCCAACGTCGGCCTGGGACCCCCAACTTCATCCTGGGACCTTCTGGGGACCCTCAACATTGTCCTGGGACCCCCAACATCGTCCTGGGACCCCCAACATCATCCTGGGAGCCCCAACTTGGGCCTGGGACCTTCTGGGGACCCCCAACATTGTCCTGGGACCCTCAACTTCATCCTGGGACCTTCTGGGGACCCCCAACATTGCCCTGGGACCCCCAACATTGTCCTGGGACCCCCCAATGGCACCCCAGGATTGTCTGGAGACCCCCAACATTGTCCTGGGATCCCCAACATTGTCCTGGGATCCCCAACATTGTCCTGGGACCCCCAACTTGGGCCTGGGACCCCCAGCATGAGCCTGGACTCCACAATGGCACCCCAGGATCATCTGGGGACCCCCAACTTCATCCTGGGACCCTCAGTGTGGTTCTGGGAACGTCTGAGCCCCCCTAGATCACCCCAAAACCCCCTGGGGACCCCAAAGTGTCCCCAAAGTGTCCCCAGAGGTGACCCCGGCCCCGCTGTGTCCCCAGCAAATCATGAAGGACCCCCAAGTTCATCCTGGGAACCTCAGAGCCCCCCTAGAGCACCCCAAAGCCCCCTGGGGACCCTCCCTGGGGTTCTCTCCTGTCCCCAGAGTGTCCCCAGAGTGTCCCCAGAGGTGACCCTGGCCCCCCTGTCCCCAGCAAATCATGAAGGACCGCTGGATGAACGTGGGCCACGAGGACGACGAGCTGAAGCCCTACATGGAGCCCGTGCCTGACTACAAGGACCCCCGCAGGACAGGTGGGACCCCCGGGCACCCTGGGGACACCCTGGGGACACCCTGGGGACACCCCGGGGTCCCTGGCACCCCCCCTGAGGGCGCTGGCACCCCCCAGAGCTGATGGTGTCCATGGGCTACACGCGCGAGGAGATCCAGGAGTCGCTGGTGGGGCAGAAGTACAACGAGGTGATGGCGACCTACCTGCTGCTGGACCACAGGAGCTCCGAGGTGGGGACACTGTGGGGACACACTGGGGACATTGGGGACATTGGGGACATTGGGGACACACTGGGGACATTGGGGANTGTCCCCAGGCCGAGAACCTGCTGCTGGACGCCGACATGAACATCAAGATCGCCGATTTTGGGTTCAGCAACGAGTTCTCGCGCGGCTCCAAGCTGGACACGTTCTGCGGCTCGCCGCCCTACGCCGCCCCCGAGCTCTTCCAGGGCAAGAAGTACGACGGGCCCGAGGTGGACGTGTGGAGCCTGGGGGTCATCCTGTACACGCTGGTCAGCGGCTCGCTGCCCTTCGACGGCCAGAACCTCAAGGTGGGCACGCGCTTTGGGGGCACCATGGGGGTTTGGGGTCACCATGGGTGGTTTGAGGTCACTGTGGGTGGTTTTGGGGTTCCTATGGGTGGTTTGAGGTCACTGTTGGTGGTTTTGGGGTTCCTATGGGTGGTTTTGGGGTCTCCATGATGGTTGGGTGGTGACCATGGGTGGTTTTGGGGTCACCATGGGTGGTTTAGAGGTCCCTGTTGGTGGTTTGAGGTCACTGTTGGTGGTTTTGGGGTTCCTAAGGGTGGTTTTGGGGTCTCCATGATGGTTGGGTGGTGACCATGGGTGGTTTTGGGGTTCCTATGGGTGGTTTTGGGGTCTCCATGAAGGGTTTGGGGTCTCCATGATGGTTGGATGGTGACCATGGGTGGTTTTGGGGTCACCATGATGGTTGGGTGGTGACCATGGGTGGTTTTGGGGTCTCCATGATGGTTGGATGGTGACCATGGGTGGTTTTGGGGTCACCATGGGTGCTTTAGAGGTCCCTGTTGGTGGTTTTGGGGTTCCTAAGGGTGGTTTTGGGGTCTCCATGATGGTTTGGTGGTGACCATGGGTGGTTTTGGGGTTCCTGTTGGTGGTTTGAGGTCACTGTTGGTGGTTTTGGGGTTCCTATGGGTGGTTTTGGGCTCTCCATGGTGGTTTGGTGGTGACTATGGGTGGTTTTGGGTCCTTATAGGTGGTTTTGCAGTCTCCATGAAGGGTTTGGGGTCTCCATGATGGTTGGGTGGTGACCATGGGTGGTTTAGAGGTCCCTGGTGGTGGTTTTGGGGTTCCTAAGGGTGGTTTTGGGGTCACCATGATGGTTGGGTGGTGACCATGGGTGGTTTTGGGGTCACCATGGGTGGTTTGAGGTCACTGTGGGTGGTTTTGGGTCCCTAAGGGTGGTTTTGGGGTCTCCATGATGGTTGGGTGGTGACCATGGGTGGTTTTGGGGTTCCCATGGTGTTTGGGGGT